TGTTGTTGTCCCCTGATTAATTGTCTATACTAGTTTCAGTCAAACCTTTGTTTTAAGGTAGCAAACTAGCAACTGACTCAACCTCCCTGGCCTTTTGCTCGTTATTTCAACAAATTAGCCAATCTATTCAATTCAGTTCAGTTTATTTCTATAGCGCCAATTCACAACACATGTCATCTCAAGGCACTTTCCAGTTCACCAGATCATCCAGTCAGATTGATTCAAAGTTTTCTATCTAAGAAAAACCAGTTGATTGCATTGACTCATTGACTCTTCAGCAATCCCTCACACTAAGCATGCTTGTAGCAACAGTGGAGAGGAAAAACTCCCTTTGAACAGGAAAAAACCTCCAGCAGAACCAGGCTCAGTGTGAGCGGCCATCTGCTGAGGCCGACTGGGGTTCAAGGAGACAGAAGCAGACATAGAAAAAGCAGCATAGATACAAAAGGCAACTGTCAACCAGCTCCACAGGCGGCCCCGTCCAGGAAACACACAGCCAGGCAGATGAGCTCCGAGCCAGCTCCCATGTCAGAGGATAAAGAGAGCACATCCAGTTAGTCACAGTCAGAGAAACAGGACTACACTGGAAAAACAGGCTGATCTCCAACATCTATAAACACAGGTGTTGATGGCAGCAGCACAGATGACATTTCTCTCCAGGATGGAGTCACAGCCAAACAGGAACAGACCAGATGAAGCTACTATGAGAAAAAGCAGAAAGAGCAGAACGTTAGAGATTGAACTAACAGATTCTGCAGAGTGGGAGAAAAGAGATAGAATGATGAAAAAGGGGTCCCTATGTCCTCCAGAAGTCTAAGACTATAGCAGCATAACTATAGAGATTGGTCAGAATCACATGGCAGTAACAGATAGATGACATGCTAAAGTAGCAAGCAGTCGAAATGGAAAGAAGAGGTGTTAAAGGTACCAGTCATACCACTCTCTAACTTTTGAGCCAAGTATTACTTTAATTTAAGTTGTATTTAATTATTTTTTTTAGGTCTTTAACAACCCCTCTTTTTAGAGACATAGACAGGTATGAGGTATTACAGGCTAACAAAGAACCAAAAGACCCTCATTTCTAAGGGATCTCACCCGTTAATTTCTAAGCTAAAACAAGGCTTTGTTTTTGGACCACTCTATAAAGCCTCTTAACTCAACGCTATTTCTGACATTTTGAATTGAAAATTCTTCCTGGATGGGAAGCGAAACATCTTCAAACTTGGAAACAAAGTCCAGTGGATTGTTTTTTTTTAACCTTTTTGTACTTTATCTGGTCAATAAGCAGAACTTGGTGCATGTATATGCTTCATGTAGGCTGCTCTTCTCAAAACCTCACCTACGTAATGTGAGAAGGTTGGATCCATCATCACTAAATAAATCATGTGCTGCTTTATTCTGCTTGACGCCTCTATTGCAGCCCTGGCCTGTGCAGTGCCACAATAATAATAATATAACAGATTTTTGATGAAATCTAGTTCTGTGGAATCTTGTTAATCAGTGTAAAACTGTATCCATCAGTTTGAACCAACTTATAGGAATTTATTACCGGAAAACCTTAACATGATTTTTGATTAAAATCCTTCTGGTACATTAGACAACACATCATTTGACTCCCTCTTACCTCAATGGCCTGTTAAGCCTATAAACTCTCTCTGTGTTCACTGCTTGTTACCGTTTCTGCTTTGCTTTCGGATGGTTGATAGATTTTAATATTTTATCTTTGCTGTTTTGTTTTTTAGTAAAGGTCCTTTCAACTCATGTTGTGGATATAGCTCTATTTTTTTACTTTACTTTTGTACATTATCAATCTATTTTAAGAGTGAAATTACTGGGATTCCGTAAAGGATGATTATAAAAACTTTTAATACCTTTTTTTTTGTAAGACAGAAAAAGTAAAGCTTTTTAAGTGGAGCAGTCTGGGTCTTTGTGGCTCCCTTCAAATCAAGCCTCATTTCCATCTACGCTGCTGCCAATCCCAAGAGGAAATACATATTTTAAGATTTGCATGTGCGTAAGACAAGTTCTTTACATTTGAGCTCATTCATTGTCCTAAAAGCAGGCGCCCCAAAAATAGGAAAAACATCCAAATGACGTATAAGATCATATCTCTAAAAACAAGACAACCCAGGATGGTAAAAAATAGCCAACATTTTTTTTTAAAACCTTAAAAGAATATTTTTATTATACAGCACTTTGTGATGGATGGGATGGTATTTATACATTCTAGGGTCTAACCATTGGTAAAAACCTGTGTTTATGACTCTTTGAAAAACCTTAAAGTTTGCAAACATGTTTAGAGTTCAGTAATAATCTGAAGTTATTTGTGAAACTCTACAACAGCAAGTTTCCTACAGTTATGGCTTTATAGCATAAGAAAAATTATTACTGACATGATCTAAATCAATTCTTTCTTTTATTATTTAAACACCTGCATGAGTATCAAAGGTTTATATTCCAGCTTTTATCTACACATGTTTTATGGTTCAGAGAGCAAAGAGGTCAAATTTCACACTTGGATTTCTTCATTAGAAGAGCCCTACCTATTCATAACTATAAAACAGTTTAAAAGATGCAGTCTTGTTTTATTAGACAGAAGGGGTCAGAATTGGATTGTTTTCTAAAACATACACTGTACCATTTTTGCTAGCCTGATAAACCAGTCTAAATCCGAGATTAAATGTTTAATCTAGTCGAGCCCCAATGAATGAGACATCGGAAGATTGTTGATAACAACAACCCGAAGGTTTTCAAACCATGTCTGTTCCTATTGGCCAATGCCCTGACAAAAAGAGCGCAACTGACTGTGACGTAGTAAGCCCGACAGAAAGCTGGTTGGGGAGTGTAAACAAACAGCCTGTTGGTAAAACGGCGAATACGTCCTTCTTAAAAATGAATCAACGTAGAGCCTCTTCCTGCTCAGGTTTCAACGAAAACCCCAAGTCTAATCCTTCAAAAGCTGAGTCAAACGAGAGCTGTTCAGTAGTTATTGCCATCTTCCTTGTTGTGCTTTCTCCAGCGACGCAGCTTTGTAGGTCCGCCCTCAAAACCCCGCCCGCTTTGCATCCAGAAATTCAAAACACATCTCTGCGTTGTGATTGGCCCGCCGTTGATCGAGGCTAGACCACTTGCAGGCAAAAAATATTTTGGTGGGTGGTGCTTAGCCTCGTGAGACCATCCTGATCTCGCGAGCTTTCAAGGTTTCACTCGCAGATCAGTCTGGAGACTCTCCGTTAAAGAAAATTTGGAGCCGTTCACCAAACGAACGTCCAATCAGCGTTGGCTTTGAGGCGGGTTGAGGTGTGACGCAACGAGAAGCGTGACAGTTCAGTCTAACGAACATGGCGGCTTCAGCCGATGAAACTAGCGTTAGCGTGGCTATCGAGCAAGTTTTATCGGAACTACAGAGTATTTCTTCACTGAAAGAAGAGCAAAACACTGCTCTGGAGGCTTTTCTCAGAAGAAAAGATGTTTTTGCTCTTCTCCCGACTGGTTTCGGCAAGAGTAGCCTGGCTTGTGGTCGTGTTTTCAACGTCGATCTGTTAGTACGTCATATGCTTGGTTGATCTGATTGGTTTATTTGGCCCGTCTATCACCAACATAGGCCAATCAGCTAACCAGTATTTTGGCCCCTTCCCAAAATAAATTCAACCGAAGGTTTCCAGATGGATATGCAGAGCAAATCCATCTGGCGGAGTCAGGTTAGGTGGGGCTATCGTACTAGGCGAATTTTTATTTTGCCGTTTTTGGGCAGATTTTTCAGTCGTGCGAGAATTTTTCGATCGGGCAGACTTTCAGCCTGATCGTGCGTTGTGTAGCGTACAGGGGGTTAAAAGGGGCGATCAGTCTCTCAGACCACCTCCCGATTAGGAATCGTAACATCGGGGGGAAATCAAACATGCTTGATTAATCAACCATCGTGAGCAAATTGTTCAGTGCGCAAAGAAGGATTCTCCTTCTTCTTCTTAGACAAAAAACACAGAAGTGAACTAAAATGGAGTTCTTTATGTAAAACTGACAGACCGTAGTAGCCACCTTTGATCAGCCATGTCTTTGTCCAAATACGTCCGCACCTTTTCTCACCACAAAATTGCACAACTTGCCAAGGCAGCGCGTTTCACTCTAGAGAGGTTCACATCCCCCTTCTACTGGTTTGGCTTCCAGATAGACGAGTCAGAGTAGCGGCATCTCATTGCGGAGCTGAGTCCGACGTGGTGTTTAGACATGCAGTGTGAGCAGGTAGATCGCATCAGAGCGTCGGGTCGCTCAGTGTGGAAACATATATTGTGAGCTGTGAATTTTAAAGCACTGCAGTTTCTTCATACAATGGGAGCTGTAGCTCCGTGCAACGATTGAAAATATTGCAAAGTGTTTGCCAGGCTTAAATAGCCAAAAATTATGTGTTATGACTATTTAAAAACCCTACAGCCGTTCTCCAGTTACATTATATATGGCAGATATTAATGATCATCCTGATAGTGTTTACTTAACAGTTTTTGAGCCTTAAAAGACTTTTTGCACCGAATGCGATCGGCAGATTAAATGCATTTTCTGTACGCTGTCAGCTGGGAACTTTTCAGTCCCTTTAGCTAAAACACTTAGAATAGCGATGTTGTCAGTAATTCTGTTTTAGTAAGACCTTGTACTCAAACATCCATCAACTTAGCAGAGAAATCTGAAGCGTTTGCAGCTGTAGGTCTCTCCTCAGTGAATACCAACCTTTCTATCGTATTCTGAGCAAAACTCACGTCTTATCCTATTGGCATCCATATGTTTTCTGTTTTTTCACACTTGCTAAGTTTTTTGGCGTCATTGCTTCTTCTATTTATCTAATATACACGTATGGCTCCTCCTATCTACTCATTAAAACATGGTTAATATCTTACCTCCAGTCATGTGATCTTGTTTTGGCAAATCTACACCAAATGTTTTGTTTACCAACAAATGGAGCAAAAGCAAAGTAATAAATCATTATGAACCAACTTTTCTGTGTTTGGTAGGTCCTAGCCAAGAGGAAAGAGGGGACTGGCAAGGTGAAAGTACTGCTACACTGGACACCTGAAGACATGTGAGTAAAAGGTTGAATTAATACAAATTGAATGTCCTACTAACAAACACTTAATTTAAAATTAAATTAATACAAAATTAAACACAATCAAAACCAAATTAATTAAAAAAAATGAAAAAAGGAGAATATTTTAGAGATAAATCTTTTATAGTGTTCTAGCTCTGATGACTGACTTTCATCGCTGAAATCTTCGACCGTCTTCACTCTTTTTATGTTGCTGATTTGCATGAATATTTCAGATCAAATCATTATGATGAATAATAAATAATCAATAATCCCTAGAGAATATAGATCGTAGCTCTAAATCTGAGATATAAAGGTGACTCAGCAGACACCTTAAAAAGACAACCAGTTGTAGTTTTAAAACGGCCCTGCTTTAATTACAGTATAGAGTCTTACTTCTTTACTTTCTACACGTCTCCTTTTTCATTTTTTGTCTTTGAAAAAGGAAAAAAATCCAAGTGTGCCAGATTTTGCTTTCTAGTAAGCAAGAAAGAAGTAAAACAGTTGAGAGGCAGCACCAGGTGGGAAAGGGGCTGCATTGCTCTGTTCTCCACACTGCAAACTTTGGTCACTTTGGGGCTTTTTAATGTAAAAAAAAAAAAACGTAATAATTTCCCAGAATCTCCCAAAACGCTGGCATACGCTGAACTTTCGATGTATTTTTTCAATTTTGGGCGTATACATGGCGTATTCATAACGAGTCTAGAGCATATGTCCAATGACAGCCTAACTTATGCATAAAGCACGGCAGCATAATTCTTGATAAGTTATGCATAAGTTTCTCATAGGTTTTGGATAAGCTAGACGCCACGACTTAGGAGTAACTTACACTTAACGTATGACAACCATCAGATAACTTACCTGTAACGTATGGCCCATGTATGGTATTCATTGCCATTTGTAGGGGAATATTCAGCATCAAAATTTCTCGATGTACTTGCCGTATGTCGACGTGTTCCAGCGTGTTTCATCGTGTTTCAGCGTACTTCAGCATGCTCATAACTTATACAAAACCAGGGTTCCAGCGGGTCCTTAAAAAGTCTTAAAAGGCATTAAATTCTTCGAAATAAAACTAAGGCCATAATTGGTATTAAACTGTCTGAAATCAGTCTTTCGTAGGTCTTAATTTTTAAAACATCATAAATAGGATTATTTTTATTACGATTTATTTTTGTAATCTAAATAAAACTTTAAAATTGACAATTTTTTTGTTTTTATTTAAAAAAAAATATGACGGTTTGCCATTATCGGTTCCGTCCCGATAGCGGAACCAATAAAAGCGTTGTTGCGGCCGGGACATTTGGAAGATTCACCATTAACTTTTTGTCTGGAAAATATGAGCAAGTGTAAATGTAACGAAAATTGTCTCCAGCCAAGAGTTTTCTCCATGGCTAAAACCAGGGAACATACATGAGGCTCAGTGGATTTTGTGCTAGAGACTGACACGGGAGTGGATTTTCACTCCTGTCCCGTCCCACTGCCACAGAAAAAAATTGTGTCCCGTCCCGATCCCGGGCCAGAGTAGAAATCTTAATCCTGTCCCGTCCCACTCCTGGTGAAATTACTCCCACTGCCATCCCGCTCCCATTCAGAATGACTCCCGCTCCTGCACCTCTCCCATTCTTGTTGTCTTTGAGCGCGGGTAAAAAACTCAGAGTGGAAGCACTGTTGGTTTTTGGGTCGTGTAGTTTTTTTGACTCGCATTATAGTGTAGGCTTCAAAGAAAAAAACTACAAAATGGCGGCGCCAGTACTGGATTTTTTTTCTTTCTATTTTTTTTTTTTTTTTTGGCATCGATCCTAGTTTTTTTTTTAGTTACTATTGGTTTGCTCCCGCTCCCGTCTGCTCCCGTTAGTGTTTAATCCTGTACCGTCCCAATCACGTGATCGTTACTAATACTGACTCCTTTCCCGTTACTAATCGTTACTAATACTGACTAATACTGAATCCCACGGGAATCCCACGGGATTCCCATGGGATTCCCGTGGGATTCCCGAAAAAATGTCAGTCTCTATTTTGTGCAAGAGGTCATTCAAGCTCGGAACGATGGGAATTAAAGCAGTGGAGTCGCACATGCGCAGCACGAAACACAAAAAAACGGAGCCGGTATTTCTCAGTTTAGTTCCACCCTTGTCTCTGCAACGCCTCCACTTATCACCAAATCAAACATACTAAAAAAAACCATACAAAGAAAAATAGCTGCAAAAAAGACTTAGCACTGGTTATGTTGTGGCTTTAAAACTGATTTGTTTTGTTCCCTGCTAAAACAAAGTTTGTGAATTCAGTTAAATAATTGTTCAAATATATCTGTCATTTGTGTGTTTTTAGCTTTCTTCCTGTATGGGAAGCTTTTCAAAATTTGAAACATTAGTGCAGTGGTTTATGTTAAAATAAACCTTTGGGTTAAGTTGTCGCAGGCAGGTTTTTCTTGTGTTTCTTGTGAATTTGGTCTTAAATTTTTATTTCAAGTGGCATTAAAAAGTCTTAAAAAGTCTTGAATTTAACTTGCCTTATGCTGTAGGAACCCTGAAAACGTACCCATAACTTATCCAACGTATGACGTCTAAATCATTTCCTAAATAATTTAATCAGATTCATCAGAGGTAAGATTATAAAAGCCACTGCTACTGTGGTTTAAGGCTGTTATTTATTTACCCTTGGTGTAAATAAGCTTTGATTATGTTTTTTTAATCTCTGTTTTTAAATGAACTTTTTCATAACTACTTAAAAATTTGAAAGGATGTATTTTTTTGTCTGGATCACAGAGCTTCAATGTTCTACTGTAAATGAAAGCTGTTCCTGTGGTTATCTAGAGGTTAATAGAAGTGGCCTTATATGGTTAAACATCAGGAGATCCTTTTTTTTTTTAAGAGTGAATCAGCACTTATCAAATATCAGTTATGTTTCATTGTAAATGTTTTGAACAGGTTTCTAATTTCACATAAAGCTAATCCGTCAGAATGGATGTTGCTCAGCCCAGTCTGACCACCTGGTTATCACCCATAGATTCTTATTCTTCCCATCTTTGTCCAGATCCCTGGAGCTGAGCATGCAGAGTACAAAAGCTAAGCTCACTGTATCAGTCAGGGAACAGAACAGGCAGGTTTAGCACCACACTCATAAAGAAAGAGCTTGACATAACAATGATTTTCTGCAGTTTTTTTGCCCAAGGGGAGATACCGACATGCGTGCGGCTCTCTTACATTTCCATTGAAGGTTTTTGGCAGCACGGCCTCTGGAGATGATCAGAGGAAAGGTTAGAGGGAGAAGAAAGATGACAAAGATGTTAAAATGAGGAGAAAATAAGAGGAAAGAGAAATGATAATGGAGGAAGGTAGGAAGACAACAAAGTGAAGGAAGCCCAGGAGAGCTTTGGAAATTAAGAAATAAAGCCAAAAGAGAACGATAGTGGCCGAGGGCAAAGAAAATAGACCTTTGGAGATACTGAATCAAACCTTTTATTGTATTTTTTGGGTTCAAAGTAACTCTGGAAAGTTCAATATTTTGCAAAGACAAAAAGCTTGAAGATACAAAAAATAAAGTAGGGGTTTGGTGATGAGAGAGAGAGGGAGAGAGAGAGCTCCCTGATTAATATCAAACAGTTAGGATGTGGATTGGTGGTGGAACCCAACAAAGGGAGAGATTGTATGAAAGCCATGGGAGGATGAAAATAGGGCAGAGAGGTAACTGGGTTAGTTAGAATGAAATGAGTCATATATATACGGACCCATTCATTAAATTAGAGTATTATTGAAAAGTTCATTTATTTCAAGAACTTAATTCTCTAAGTAAAACACATTATGTGGATTAATTACACACAGTCTGATGTTTCAAGGCTTTTTGAAATGGTAATTATGATGATTTTCCGCTTATGGCTAATGAATCATAATCAGCTCTTTTCACAGAGGTTTTGCACACAAACAAGGAATTCCACTTCCCCTTGATCTCTATGATGACATTTCAAAAATAAATGTTTTTTTTTCCCCTCCCACAAAATAGAACGGAATGGTTGAATATAAGGGTTATCAATGTGATCACTCTGTTTTTCAGTCACAGCTTGATTAAGAAAGAGAATAATAAACACATTTAAGATTAAAATATTACATTAGACCAAAAAATACAATGAGTGCCTAAAAAAAGGATTTTAACTGCTTAGAGGTTGTTTTCAGGAGTATCTCTAGCAGAGGAGATGCACAAAATCAACTTTTTCTTTTTTTTTAGCTCTTAACCCTTTAAAGCCCTATCCAAGAATAAAACAAAACAGAAAATAACTTTTTTTTTTTTTGGTTTGAAGTCCTTATTTGGCCTTTTAACAAAATATGTAAAAAGAAAAAACAGAAATACATTTTTGATATTAATAATGTATTACTATGCGATAAGTCAAGTACAATAGGATTTTGAGCAAAGTTTTTACTATTAAATTATGCAAAAGGTGTCAGACGCAAAACATTTCAGAAACCGTATGTATCAAATACGATACATTTGGCATTACAGGGTTAAATACATTTTGTTGCGTACTTGAAGTCTTTAAAAGTGAAGCAGAAACGCGGAATTTGTTTTCTGCTGGTCTTTATATCTGGGTCATATTTTTTAGTCTGCACAGTGTTCTCTACTTTGTTTTTTTTTTTTTTTTTTATGTATTACATCACAAGTGGAATTGGTGAACAACATCATGGATCTAAGAGCCAATGACAGAATATAGCAAAGCCATATTTCATTAACAGTTTTTGTAGTCTGTTTTGTTGCTTTTTTTTCTCTTGGGAAATTATCCAAATGAATTCATTGCCGTTCTTGTTACTAGCATTGGCTAACCCCTCAACTATGTTAATCTATTGTATACAATATTCGTCATTAGTATTTTGGTAGCAATCATGTTTTAAAAGTCTGGAAATGTAGCTTGTGTTCAAATATTGAACATGAATGAAAGGATTACAGTTTAATTTACTACTATAATTTGATTAGGTTTTCTCTGCAGTTTAAGAGGTTTTCTTAGCAAT